TCCTCCCCCCCTTCTTCCCCCCTCCCAAAGTCAGCTCCCGCAATTCCCTCGCCGCAATCCGTTGTGCCTCACTGACCCTCTCCAGCAGGATCAAGACCGTCTCCTCGTCGGTTTTGTACTCAGGGAGCTTGGTTCCCAGCAAGGCTTCGAGCCGCTGATACACCTCCACGTCATACTGCGTGACCATGGCGATGGATCTTCCCGCCCGGCCTGCGCGCGCAGTGCGGCCCACCCGGTGGATGTAGTCCTTCCCGTGGGAGGGGATGTCGAAATTGATGACCAAGTCCACCGCGGGGATGTCTAGGCCCCGGGAGGCTACGTCCGTGGCGATGAGGATGGAGCGCTGGCCCGACTTGAATTTGTGGAGGGCCCCCAGGCGCTTGGGTTGGGTCATCTGCCCGTGGAGACAAATGGCACCGAAGCCCAGGTTGCGGAGCAGGAGGGCGAGGCGCTGAGCGTTGTTGCATGTGGCGACGAAGACGAGGATGGTCTGGCCGGCGGCCTCGTTGAGCGCGTAGGCCAGGTAGCAGTCCTTGTACTTGGCGGGGATGAAGAGATACTGCTGCACGAGGGTACGGGGCGTCGTGAACTTGTCGGATGCCTCCACCTTGACCGGGTCGGTGAGGGAGGCACGCTGGAGCTTGGCTACTTTCGAGGTCATGGTCGCGCTGAAAAGGAGGGTCCGGCGGTGCTTCCCCGTGGGCATGATGGCCAAAATCTTGTTGATCTCCTCCTCGAAATCCATGGAGAGCATGCGATCGGCCTCGTCCAGTACCAGGAAGCGGGCCTCGCGGATGTGGAAACCCTTTGTGTTCTCCAAATGGTCGACCAGACGCCCCGGGGTGGCCACCACCACGTGCGGTTTGCGTGCCAATGCGATCGCCTGCGTCATCATGTCCACACCTCCTACCACACAGCAGGATTTGAGGCCAATGCTTGCACCCAAGGCCTCGAAGACTTCGTGTATCTGGAACGCCAGCTCACGTGTCGGGGCGAGCACAACCGCAAAAAGGCGTTGAGGCTTTGCCAACAAGGCTTGCAGCACCGGCAAAGCAAACGCACCAGTCTTGCCTGAACCTGTCTCAGCCAGCCCGATCACATCACGGCCCTGTAGAGCCGCTGGGATAGCTTGTTGCTGGATTCCCGTGGGTTTCGTCCATCCGATCGCTGCGCAGGCCTCACAGAGAGGCTTGACCACACCCAGCGCCTCGAAGGTCTGCACGTCATCCTCAACCCCTTTGGCTGGGTCAGAATCCAGATCGACGTCAGGATGTGTGTTTTTTTCCTTCCCATCCTTTTTTTTGCCGTTTGTAACCATGCGTGAGGCGGAAATGGAGTTGGTAAACGCCAAGGGGGTAGCCCAAGGGAGGGAGGAGGTTGGTTGCTGGGCCTGCGCGGATACGTTGATTACCTCAAGAAAGTCAGACCTTACTGAGGCAATCAAGGCCTGAGGTCAATGGAACAAAGGATGGAATGAGCGTGTTACGTTTCAATTGTGCGGTAGGTGCTTGTGCTCCTCAGGTTTTAGCGTTACCGTGTTCCTGGACGGCAGCCGGAGGGCAAGTCCATCGCCGAGACGAAGAACGCGTTGGCACTTTGACGTCTTCCTACTTAATAGAGCTGACCAACCCTACCATTCATAGACTAGGTCATGTTCTCGTTTATCACGGGAAATGGGAGGAAAAGAGCACGCGGAAGTGCACGCAGTTTCTTCGGGAGCGAGGTGGGGAAGACGGAGGACGGCGCAAGTTCTGGCAGCACTAGCAGCGACCCGAAGGCCACCGACCTCCCTCAATTCAACAAGGATAACGCACGCCAGCACCTCTCTGATATCGAGAAGAAACGCCAGGAGAGCATTCGTGAAAATCAGGAGTTCCTGAAACAACTTGGACTCAAGGATGTGAAGCTCAGTCTGCGCGACGCCTCACCGGCAGACCCCAACCCCCCAACCGAGAGCGTGCGCTCTCTCAGCCATCCTCACGACTCGGCCATGTCTATTGGCGCCTCTTCTTCGCCAGTGCCGCCAACATTGGAGCAAGTGAAAGCCAAATGGGTGGGGCGTGGGGCGCAAATCGACGCGTTGGCCCTCCTCCTCCCGTCCCCAGGCGAGGCGAGCCCGTCCTCCTCAGTCATCCTGGTGCATGGGCCGAGCGGGGGGGGGAAGACTGGCGTGGTCGCCGACGTCCTCCGCGCGTTGCAACTGCCCCACGCGCACATCCGTGGGGTGGAGCATCCGACTGCCCGGTCACTGTACAGTACGATCGCCGCGGCATGGTTGAGACACCTGGAAAGCCAGAGTCGGGTCTGTGGCTACCAGGACCTCGGTTATGTGGAGGAGGACGACTGGGTCGATGAGGACGCTCAGCAGGTGGAGAAGGCGCGCGCTGCCGAAGCGCAGGGCAGACGACGCGGGGTCACAAGCGAGCTTTCCGTCAAAAGGGAAGGGAAGGCAGAAAGATGGGTGAGAGGGGGATGGGAGGAAGGGGAGGGAGAGAAGGAGGACAGCGTGCGAGGCCATTTCAGTGAAGAGGAGGGCAGCGCCGATGATAACAGTCAGGAGGAAAAAGAGGAGGGAGAGGAGGAGGAGGAAGAGGAGGAGGAAGAAGAGGAGGAGGAAGACCCGTATTTCGCGCAGAGGAGCTCGGTGCTGGAAGGCTCCGAGGGCAGGGGCCTGGAGGCGGGGCTGATGCCCTTGCCCCATCGCTGTGCGACCATGGCGGGACTTCTGCACCTGCTGCGATCCTGGCGGGGACAGGGGTCGCGTGGGCAGCGGGCGGGCCCCGAGGGTCCGGACAAAACGCCCTTCGTGGTGGTGTTGGACTCGGCGGACCGCCTCCCCGGCGGTGTGGGCTCGGTGCGTCACGAGCTTCTGGAGCTCCCGTCGATGCTGGAAGGGCCCAAGGGCCGGCGGAGGGACTGGGGCCAGGGTGGGACCGCCTCGCGCGTCGCTCTCTCGGTGGTGTTGGTCGCGGAAGCGCCCGAGTCGGTGCCGGGGGCCTTGGAGGGGGGTGCCGCCCTCCATTTGCCCTTCCCCGCCTATACCAAGGCGCAGGCGACGGAGATCCTGCTCCGAAGCTTGCGGGCGGCCGCAGGGGTTTCCCCTTTCCTTCCTCACGGCGGGGGGGGTATGGTGAGGGAGGAGGAGAAGGCAGTCGAGGCCCTTATGAAGGACCTCGTGACCATGCTGGTCGCCTCGCTGTACTCCTCCACGCGCGACGTAAGGGAGATGCGGCGCATGGCTGTCTTGCTCTCTGAGAGGTACTTGGCACCCGTTCTCAGCGAAGGCGCTTGTGGAGGGGGGGAGAACGGAACGCAGGGGGACGCAGGCGAGCCGGGCCGACCCCGAGGAGGAGGCGGAGGAGGGAAAGGAGGGAGAGGCGCCTTCGGCCACCTGGACCTCTTCGAGCACGTGCGACCCCTCCTCCACCGGGCCACGCACAGCTGTCTGCACATGCCCGCCGTGCTCGCGCCCGGCCTTGAAGCGGGGCCCGCGCCTGTGGGATCGGTCCTGAGTCGCGATCCCGCCGGCTGGGACGGGCACCGCCTCGAGGGGCCCCGGCCCTCCTCCTCGCCGCCCGCTCGCCCGCCTCCTCGCGCCCTCCTCCGCTACGAGCTCCCCAAGCTGGCGCTTTACCTCCTCCTTGCGGCCTTCCTGGCCTCCCACCTCCCCCCCGACACAGACATGCACCTCTTCGCCCTCCCCTCCGCACGCGGGGGACGACGGACCCACCGAAGCGCCGCGAGCGCCACCCGGGTGGCCGAGGCGAAGGATGCCGAGGCGCGGAAGGAGGGCGTGCGCGCCTTCTCTCTCGAACGACTTCTCTCCATCTTCACCTGCCTGATCGCCCTCAGTCGGACCACCGGCGCGGCCTACGCCAATAACACGGGCACCACAGAGCTCTTCGCGCAGATCAACACGCTGGTCA